GATGGCTTCTGTTTGCTTCTCCCCTTGCTCCCTGCAGCTGGAGGTGAAGATGCAGGTAGAATACATGTCCTTTAGTGCCCATGCTGATGCCAAGGGAATAATGCAGCTGATTCGCCAGGCCGAGCCACGCAGTGTTCTTCTGGTTCATGGGGAAGCAAAGAAGATGGAGTTCCTGAAGCAGAAAATTGAACAGGAATTTCGTATGTGACTTGTTTGGGTGTAGAGGGTGCTGGGGAGGATTCGTCGTGGAAGGCGGAAGGATTAATTATTTTTATAGTTCATGTACTTTGGCCAGGATGTGAAATCTAGTTGAATAATGTGTTTTGATTGGCTCGATGACTCTCCAGATGGCATGGCTTGCAGTAAGCCCCTGCTGCAGTTTAATGATCTTTAGGGACCAATCAGATGCAGTGCAGTCGAAGAAATAGAGAGTTATTGTATGTGTGCATGTGTAAACAGGGATTTATTTCTGTAAGCTGTGTCTCTTGGACTCCGAAAACCAACAGAGACTGGTGGGGAAAAGTTCTTTCATGTTTATAATTCTGTACTACGGACTTAAGTTACAGTGAGCAAGAGTAGAGGAAAAACTAAAACCTTTTTTGAAAGCAGCTGACTCTAAGGCGAGGTGGAGAATGATCAGCAAAGAGACCATTGTGTTTCACTCTCTGGATACTTATTTATTGGGTGCATTTTCCCAACAGTTGCAGGTGACTTTTGCATTAACTTGTTTTTATCATGGCTGTAAGTTCTGCGGCAGTCTTGCTGTAGCCTGTGATCTTGCCAACTCTCACAAATTCTCCAAGACTCAGGCTGGATGGGAGTTCTCCAAAAGAAACCCATGCTGCTGCATGAGGTGTTGCTGGTGATTCACTAAGTAGCGTTGTTCCCTTTGTGGGAATCTGTGCTGTCTTCCATGGGAAAAGTATGTAAAAAAAAAAAAAAAAAGGCCGTGACCACTTGTGACTAACGATCCCATGGAATTTACCACACGTTTAGGGGTGTTAACTCTGGTGGCCTGGCAAGATTCCCTTTAGAACAAGTATACTGGCTATTTGCATTACCCCTTCAAGTTTCAGTTGAGTATAATGTTCTTAGTCCCTGTCCCAAATTGTTGTAAAGGGTTGTTGTTAAACACCCGCCGTGTTCCACTCTAGCTATGGGTGCAATGATAGTTCCTGTATAAAAAGTCCTTTGGGACTTAGAAGCTCTATATGGACGTTTCTCCAGTATTGTTTGCTTTTAATACAGATGTCAACTGCTACATGCCTGCAAACGGAGAAACCACTACACTGTTCACCAGCCCCAATATACCGGTGGACATTTCCCTTGGATTGTTGAAGAGAGAGACTGCCATAGGTAATACACCAGTTAACAATGACTTTTCCCTTTCAGGCACTGCAGTTCTCGTACAGCTTGTTTTTACTGCTGAATGTAAGGTTATGCATGGATGTGTGAGAAGGGGATGTTGTGGACACATTTATGTGATCTTTCACATAATGGAGCTTCATCACTAGTGGGATGAAGAGTTCACCTGCCAATTTATCCCCATTCATAGTGTATTCACTGTTTTTTAAAAGCCCCATGCTGGAAAGTCAGACACACATAGAATGGGGCTGCCCTGCTATTCATCACTAATGCACTCTGCAGAGAGATTACCTGTCAAGTTTGCTTAATGGATACAAATGCATGCTTCAGTGGGCCAGTTCCACCCCCGTTGGAATTACAAGATAATCTGGTTTTAATCCCCACAAACTTCTATCTAAACCGAGGAAGCGACGTGTGCTGCAAGATTGAGAGAAAGTCAATGTTGCTGAGCCTGATTTGCCCCATCCCCAGGGAATTGCTAACTGGGTTTAGACACTGTTTGTAAAAGGTCTCTGCCAAGGTTATAAGATCATAGACTGAACCTACTGCATTTCAGTTGAGGGGCTGGCAGTTCAGGCCCTCTTCTCATCCCTGCAGTCTGTTAGATCCCAAAGTGTTTTACTATGTGTGTATAAAAGATGTTAGATAAGCACAAGACCATTAATGACTTTGTGCTTCCTTTCGGTTGGTCCCACTCTAGGTCTCGTACCAGATTCCAAGAAGCCAAAGCTCATGCATGGCACATTAATCATGAAGGATAATGTAAGTGAAAAGGAGATTACTCTAGTACTTGTCTTGTGGCCTCTGCTTGCCTCTGCTAACAGTAAAGGTGTTGTGCACAGTCCTAGCTTCTTGGAAGCAGCTCAGCAGTGACTACTCTGAAGTGTTGTGGGGCTATGAAGGAGATCCAGGTGTATGAGAATTCCCAGCTTCTCAACCACCAAGGTTGGTAGAGATCAGACCAGCCGAGAGGCATGGCTCTCTGTCTCTGGAAGAGGACACTGGAGACATAGCTAACCAATCCACAGAGCCACTTCCAATACAATTCTGCTTTTTCTCATGCTGTTGCCTCGTGCTGCCACACTATGGATGCATTTACCTTCTGGTCCAGGTCAAGAGATCTTATGCTTAATCTAGTGGTTGTAGTCTAACTCACTCTTGTCATACAGGTGGGTTGTGCCAACTTTTATTCATAGAGCAGCTGTGCTTGAAGGCAGGTTTGGAAAACAGGGAATGTATGATGGAGAGAGGTGTTTGTATAAATAAATCTGTGTACACACACACACACATCTAGCTAGCGGCTGTTGTTTGTGGCATTGTCCACAGTGTGCGAGGCCATTTAAAAAGGCACGGTCCATGCCCCAAGGAAATCTATGTGTTTGTCCTTTGCTCCAGAGTCCTTTTTTCGTTATTGGGTAGCCCTCTATAGAGCTAATGTGAATGGCAGCCTGTGATTAATGGATTTCTCCTTTCCCTTGGCAGAGCTTCCGCTTGGTCTCCCCTGAGCAGGCACTGAAGGAACTGGGGCTAGGGGAGCATCAGCTGCGTTTTACCTGCCGTGTCCACATTCAGGATCCTCGCAAGGAGCACGAGATGGTGCTTCGAGTCTACAATCACCTTAAGGGGTGAGCATGCCACAGGCTGTTTAACAGCTGCTCCTCCAAGGGTGGCCTTGCTGTTCCAAAGCAGCTGTGTGTAGCTGGGGAATGTTAATAGGTGACAAAAAAAAACTATTGGTAGAGATTCCAGTGACTAAAATGTACAGATAATTCCTCTGCTCTAGACTGCTGGCCCAGCCCCTCAGGAGTGGTTTATGCAGACAAACCAGAAATCAAGCCCTGTGGGACCATGTGACTTTCTAATGATTAATATAGAAAGGCATAAGCAGGCTTTGAATAAGTCCTGTTCTGCCCTCCTCGGCTGGCGGGTATTGGCTCAGACGGTGGCCGGGGTGGTGCAGGCGTTCTCTGTACTGATGCACTGATTGTAGGAACTAGGTCTGTGTAGTCAGACGCCCACTTCAGTACAGAGCAGGAATGCATAACGTACCTTCCATCTTCCTAGAGTCCTGAAAGATTATTCTGTTCAGCATCTCCCTGATGGATCTATCATGGTGGAGTCCATTCTGATCCAAGCCACAGCACAGTCAGAGGACCAAGGAACCAAAGTTTTGCTAGTGTCATGGACATACCAGGTAAGAATAAATGTCACTTCAGAAGACACACGTTCACAAAGTGACTCTGGTTAGCTATGTTCTAACATGGGCCTGTGGTGAGGGTTGCAATTGTAAGGATGAGTTTCCAGAGAAGTGGGTTATTGCAGTGAGGGAACAGAAAAGAGCTACTCCATCTTTGAGTTTGTTTGTTTGAGTCCAGCATGGAGTTACACCTCCCATGTGCAGCCGCCACCCCTGCTGCAACATCCACACAGCTATTTTTAGTGCACTAGCTCATGCTGAGCTATCATGATCGTCTGTCCAGGCTGGGAATCTCACATCTCAGCTGCAGTGTAGACATGATGTCTTAGTATGGAGCTGCTCTACAGTGCTCTAGCCTGCTGGTTCAAACTTTCATTGGGCAGCCGCAGGCCCCCAGGGCCTGTTAGTGCATGTCAAGCTGGGGTGTAAATCTACAGCACTCTAACTCTAGAGTCACCTCCTTTCCTTAAGCTTTCCCCCAGTGTTTTAGCCCTAATAAAACTACCTTTCCGGTAGCACCATCTCGTGAGTCTACTCCCACTGCGGGCACTGGAAACAAAATCAACCACCCTAAAATTGATGGCCTTAGCCATCAGCAATATGATGCAATGGGTGGAGGTTGTATGAAAAATTTGAGTTGTGACTAGCAAAAAGCTCACCCCAGCAGAGGCACTAGTGTTTAATTGCATGGCTAGAGTTCTCTAGTGCCTAGGTTTTGTGGATTTCAAAAGGATTTTCTTTAGAGGGGAAATGTTTTCCTGAGAGCAAAGCAAAAAAAAGACATCTGTTGTCTCAGCGCCCCCTCACACTTTGTTCTTCCAAAATAGCAGACTTGGCAGTAACAAACTCCCGTTTGTCAAACAATTCAGAAACAGTACTAAGTTTAGGTGTAGGCCTGTCAAAACAGCAGGCTCTGATTTGCTGCCCTAAAAGAGAGTGGAGTGGAGGTGTTGCCACCTGACCTATTTCTCTGTACAGGATGAAGAACTGGGCAGCTATCTTACATCTCTATTGAAAAAGGGACTGCCACAAACTACAGCTTGAGTGATGCAGCAATGGGGAAAATGGAACTTCAGAAGCCTTCCAGGTTTACCTCCGTTTTTTACATTATCCAGAGCATGTAAATACTTGTTTTTTTTTTTAAATAAAACATCTATTGTAAAATATCCTGCAGTAGAGAGTATTAAACTATTCAGACAAAATTTTGCTTTAGCAGCACTGCTATCTCCCACTGGCAAAGCCAGTCACAAATATCAATTACTGCACAAGCTGTTTGCATCAAGTTACCTGGAGCAGCTTTGACTGGAGTTCCTTGTAGAGCATGGTAAGAGATTTTCAAAGTCTTTCCCTTCACATTTATTTTTGTAATATTAAAAAGAACATTTGGATGACAGCACTTTGCTTTTTCAACATACATAAGAACATCACAGGAAGATGCTCCTCTTAACAGCATTTTAATTCACTCAGCTGCTTGTGAACAAAATGATTCAATTATCTTGTTGCTTCTGCATTGAACATAGGGTCAGCTGTCAACTTTAACAGTACAGAACACTGATAGGGGGTTAAAACTTAAAAGTAAGCCCAAGGGATTAAAACAAGCATGATATTTAAGTAGTTAACCACATATGCATACACTGCTGTGAACAATAGCTGAGGAGGGATTTGGATGATTAATTAAGGGTCTCTTATTGAGAGGAAGAACATCCCTCAGGTAGAAAGCACTTTCTAACTTTCACAATGTTCAGCAAATAATGGGACAACAGGGAGGTGCTTGGTTATTCCCATTTTACAGATGGGCAGAGCTTCAATCATGAGCCAATGTCCTGCAAAGCAACTGGTATTAGAACTAGCCCTCTGCGTCCCAGTCCACCTCGATAGCAGTTAAAATAAAGGATACCTAAGAAAGTTGAGAGAAGGCTGCAGATGATGGAATGACTCAGTCAAGTATTCGGTATACCAAACCATACTGGTGCAGGTCCATTGGTTCGGATAATTTGTCAAATATTTCATACAATGTCACCACTTTCCAAACAAAGGATTTTTTTTTGGTACTGCTTAGTAAGTAACATTGAAGTAGAAATATTGCCTGACACCCTTTAGCAGATGTGCCTGTGTTGTGTATAAATAGGACTTCAGTTTTTAGAGCTGAGGGGGGAAAAACTTCTTGTCTGCTGAGCCCACCCTTGCCAATTAACAGACTTCTGGAGGGGGGTAGCGTAGCGGCTGTAACAGACTCTGGTCTCCTAGGAAGTGGACTGACACCACCAACAAATTCAATTCATAATCCCTGCCCTAAAGAGTATGCGTATACAGCACCTGAATACTACTCCTCAGAGTTCAGGTGGATAACTTACTGACCTTGTTTTAAAAAGACAGTTCATTCAATTGCTGTGTTGGTGGTCTCACTGCTGGCTTGCTTTTACAAGGATAGTCATTGAATTTTCTGTCACAGATGGTGTAAACCTTGGATCTGGATCTGAACTTGAGGCCAAGCCGCCATGGCTTGCTGGAAGATGTGAAGTAGTACAGGATGGGGTTCAGGCAGCAGTTGAAACTGACCAGGGCCAAAGTGACCCGGCGCATTTTGTAAATTAAGTTAGTAAACAGGCAGCTTTGGATGAGCTGGACCCTCATCAGGAAGTGGAGTAGGTGAGTGACATGATACGGAAGGAAGCATAGGATGCAGATGAGCAGGATGAGGTAAATGGTCCTCAAGGCCTTCTTCTTGTGAATGCTGTGTCTGGTGTGGTTGATCCGCTTGGCGATGAGAGGGTAGCTGATGAGGATGATGGCAAACGGGATGACAAAGCCGAACAGCAAGGCACAGACATTGTAGGGCAACATGCGATGGGTCCAGCTGGTCAGCGAGAAGTTCTCAAAGCAGGCAGTCTTGTTCCCTGTGCCCTTGTTGTGAAGGGGCCCCCCAAGGATAAGCGGGATCGTGATGCTTACAGCAGTGAGCCAAAAGCTGGTGACCACTGTCATGTAGTGGGTGACTTTAATCCGGATGTAGGTGAAGGGGTGCAGCACGGCAATGTAACGATCCATGCAAATGCAGGTGAAGAAGGCAATGCTGAGGTAGATGTTGATGTAGTACAAGGTCCCGGTGATCCTACAAGCCATGTCTCCAAAGATCCAATTGTTCTGGTTCAGGTGGTAATGGATTTTAAAGGGCAATATACACACGAACAAGGTATCTGCTACAGCCAGGTTGATGAGGTAGATGGAGTGCGAGGTGTGCTTAACATTGCAGGTCAAAAGGTAGAGAGCTAAGATGTTTTCTAGCAGTCCCAGTACAAAGACAATGCTGTAGATGACAGTGAAGAGATGGTACTGGAAGTCTGCTTCAACTAGTGTTGCATTAGAATGTCCCCTGGTCAAGGTACACGAAGTGTTTTCCATGCTTTCTGCTGCAGGAGAACAAGTTCTGTGGGGATACCCTAGATCAGTCTCTTCGTTCCAAAGATGAGCAAGTCCAAAGCTCCAGGAGCTCTCTGTGAGAACTCAAGTTGTTACATCACCCAGTTCTGGTTAAAAATGTAACTAAAGCTTCTACGCTCAGTAAGCCTAATAAGATAAAAATAAGCATTAGTGTGGTTGGGAAAGACCTTTCTGTCAAGTTACAATCAAAAACATCCCCTAAAACAGGAGACTGGCTGAGATTAAGTAGCCGCAGCCCGCAACTCATTTACATTTAACAGGCAGCTGGAGGAGACCAGTTACAGGAGCAAGCCAAGCCCCAGTTCTCTGAGATTAGGCATCCAAATTTAGGAGTGGTTGTGTGAGTTTGAACATTGAACTGCGCCTAGCAGACCTGACTTCTGTTTCAGGCAAGTCATTTCATCTCTCTATGCCTGTTGCCCCTCCTACCCTTTGTCTTAGACTGCAAGCTCTTCAGGGCAGGGGCTGTTTCTTGTGATGTATCTGTACGAAGCCAAGCACACATGGGCTTGGATGTCAGCTGGGGCCTGTAGCTAATACAAATAACCTCTTGAAACAATTGGGATACCACCTTGCCATGCAGTGTTTGTAAAGTGCTTTGAGATCCTCTAGTGGGAGGCCCTTGTAAAGTAGATACTACTATTCATTATACATTAAAGGGGTACAGTCAGTCCCCTCACTTGTCCTGTTGTTACAAGAAGCACCAAAGATTGTTATAACAGATTAGAGAGGTGGGGGGAAATAGTTTCACTTTGTGTAATCAGACTTGCTGTTCACCCTGTCATGCCAATCTGTTGGTGTGGGTCTTTCAGATAACAGAGTGGGGGAAAGGGAAATAACTGCAAAACCACACTGTGGCAGAACATTTCACCAGAGCAGGATCTAAACAGCCAGTGACAACTCTATGATTTGACCCTGTCCCTGACAAGAAAAAAGGACAACCAAGAAATTGCAGCAGGCCTAAAACAAATGTACTGATTCATGCACACAGACAAGGAGGTTGCAATGGTCTTGGAGCTATCTTAAATTTAATTCTCCATCTGAGGAGCAGCCAGGGTGATGTGTGAGTGGAGAGGATACTAGTAAATGAAGTGAGCAGTGGGGTTTTGAATAGGTTGTAGACTTTGTCTAAAGGAAATAGGAGGAAAGAGAGAGTAATTTTACAGCCCACTAACTGAATGACGGACAGAGCAGACTGAGTAAGAGTAAGTCCGTAAGAAGCAGAGGTAGCATCATGCAGGAAAATATAAGTTTTTTTCCCCATAAGTGTCATTTTTAGATATTTAACTGACAACACCAACCCACTCAAGTTAAAGGAAAATCTCAAAAACTCTCACTTCTCAAGCCGTCTGGGGGTGAGAAATGACTAGCCGAGGCACAAAATCTACATGCCCAGCATTACCACAATGAAAACGGTGACTAATATTCTAGTTGTCTGCTGTGAGTACAATCTTGCACAGCTGTGCTAAAGCCACCATCTAAGTAGACATCAGAAACCAGATCTGCCCCACTGAAAGAGGACATTGAGAAGTCATTAAGTTCAGAACTGGTAAGATGAGTAACTCGATTTAGATGTTCCACTCCCTTAAAGTGAACCTGCTTTGGATTAATTATAGCAAAATGAGGATCAGAGAGGGAAGAAATAACACTGAAGACATTCCATCATCAGCTCTTTACGAAACAAACAATTTAGCATCACAATACACATCGGAAGTAAATAAATCAAAGTGTCTTCATTATACACAAGCGGGTAGAGGTAGCAGCGAAACTCTCCCCCTGTCAGTTCCCCAGGTACAGTCAACTTCTCCCTATTGTAAATAAACTAAATTGTTTACTGATGGTTCTATTACCCTACAGCCCCCATTCTGCTAGAAAATCAGCTTGCAGGACCAGTGCCTACATCTCTTTAAAAACCCCCATTCTTTCTGCCCTATTTATCAGCACCCATTTTACTACTTGCATTTCAGCTTGGATAATGAAAATCACCATTGTGAGTTTCACTTGCCAAGCTCTCCCTGGTGCAAAAGTTCTGATTTGCAAACCTGGTAGTGAAGAGGAAAAGGTCTGTTGGATTGGAAAAGAAGTTTCCATTGTTAGTAATGTAAACATTTCTGCTAGTCACAGGATAAACCCTCGTTTTTACAAAATTCAAATTTCAGGTCAAACTGTGATTTGACAGCATCCCTTTTAAAGCACCAGAAATGCATTCCCAATGTCAGGGTGCAATGTCCAATGCAGATTACATCCAAGTAGAAGGATGTAACAGCATAACAAGATATTTAAAGCAATAAATAAATAAAAAATTAGCATATAAGATGGTAGGTTATTTTCAAACATTTACCATGGGTGTTGCAAAACTGACTCAGCCTGATAATTTGGAGAGGGGCTTTCCAGCTTGTATTAAGATGTTGGCATTCCTTTAAAAAAATCCAGGCGCTAAACCAAGGATCATGCTGATTAGATGTTTTTACATTAGAAGTGCTTGTATAAGGCACTAGCTTCTGAACGTGGAACTGACCAACACGCACCAGATCCTCTAGCTAGTTAAGTTGGGTCGTTCAGCTATTGGACAGACAGATGATGAGAGGGTTTTAGTTTTACCCAAGTTGAGAAACAAGATGGCAGCTGTGGGGGTGGGGGGTTGGTAAAAACATCTGTAGAGAGGCTGTAATTTTAGAGCCTGCACTTGTGGCCGGATTGATGGACAGCCAGAGAGCCTGGCCTGCCAATTGCCCTCGTCTTGCACCACGCGGCGTCTCATGACAAATCAAGAAAGGGAAGTGAAAGAAACAAAAACTCACCCACCATCCCCAGGCCATTTTATCTCACGCGAAAAATGCAACGAACACACTGGATCCTGTGAAGACTCTTCACAAAGCAGAGGCTTGACGCTGAGCTCTCCTGTCTGAAGTGAAGCACCAGAATAAAGTCACATTGCAAAGCATACAGCAAAACCCTCCCACCTTGCTCTGCAGAGAGAAACCACAGGAAGTGCAGAGGCAGGCCAAGAGTTCCAGTTCATACTCTGAATCGGCTGGTAGGTGAACAGAACGTTGCCCAGCATGTGTCACGCGAAACTACAATGAGATGAGTTTCAGTTTTGCCAGCTCGTGAAAGGCAGTCTTTCCGTGCACCAGCTCGTGAAAGGCAGTCTTTCCGTGCACCAGCTCGTGAAAGGCAGTCTTTCCGTGCACCAGCTCGTGAAAGGCACAGTCCCATGTTAGTTCACAACTGCGACAGGCACCTGAGCTACTACACAGCCCTAGGTCTCTCCTTAGCAGAGAATGCGAATGCTTCCAAACCACGGGCTAGTACTTGACTTTAGCCTGAGCCTAAATCAGATTCATTCCACTTGTGATTTTTTCTGTATTTTAACCAATGCTTTTCTTGGTAAGGAGAAATGGCAATGATGTGGGAAGGTTTAGGCCACTGGTCAACTCCTTTCCAGGGAAACAGTTGCCTAAATTTGATCTATAGCATCAGATTTCCTGTGTGACTGTATCTATGTGGAGCTCAGATACCCAGGTGAGTCCAAAGCAACATGACAGCTGGTCCCTTAACTGTTCTGCAATATGTCCAGTCTCTAGGATAATGACAGGGTGAGCCCAAAGCTATACAAGCAGATGCAGTCAGCACCACCCCTACTGAGACCCCAATGTTAACCTTTCCGACTGTGTGGCATTTTCCGGGGCTCCTTGGAATTGGCAGTGGCTGTTACTGTTAGTGCTAAGAATGCAGCTCCCAACTCACCCGTGTGTAACTGGGATTAGAAAATGAGTAGGAACCAACCCGCTAGGCATGAAGGGAGAGAATAAAGTGGAAAATTCTTACCTCTCCTTCAGCGGGTGGAAGAAGTGGTTCCACTGATAAACCGTAAGGGGATGAAATACTTCATTTTGCCATCACAAACTCACAACCCTGCTGTCAAAGAGTTAATGCACATTGTACAGTCTTGCAACTAAGTATTAAATGGGATTTTTCATTTGGCTGAATAGGTTACTGGGTATCTAGTATCCCCCCAGTAACAAAAAGCCCCCTCTTACCTTGAGGAGCAGACTATAGGGCTCTGTACACCAGCTCTGCAGCCAAGGAGATAGCTTATCACAGGGTCTTAGAGTTCAGTCTCATTTCCTGTATATCACAAGCCACCACCACCACCCAGCAACCAAAAGGAAACCAAATATTACAGCCCTCGGGAACCTAGACTTTGTGCCACAGGCAGAGAACAGGAGGGACTAAGATGCACCGATGCCCAGAGTCGCTGCAAATGTCGGGGAAATGAGTAAGTGAGATAGACCCTGATAATCTTGGCAGGTCACCTGCATCCACACACTGCAGAGGAAGGTGGGGGAAAAACCAACCCCCCCCCAGTCACTGACAATTGACTCTCTGGCCAGTTGCACCGGTCCTTCTCAATAACTGCAACACCGGCACATAAGGAGGAAGGGCTAATTAATAAAGTTGACATTAGGCACTTTCTTTGTGCACTAAGGATGATTTTTGCAGCAGGACCCGGCCACGCCCTAGTGTTTCACTGAGCGATACGTTTGCTTTCGTTTGGGAATAACCATAAGACACCACAAAGCTTTAAAAGAGAGAAAGCAAAAGGCAGAACAAGATGATGTTATGTAAGAATAACTCTTGTTTCAGTCTCTCTGCCAAAAACTTTTGCCACCAAAATGAACTGTTGCATAATATGCGCAGCAAAACAGGCCAGCCTCCAGCACACCTCGGTCTGACTTTTAGCTCTCAGTGAAGTCAATGCTCAACTGCCTGCGGCATGGGCCTTTGCAAACAGAGTCCCACTCAAGGACGGCTGGTGTTTTGGTGCCATTCACAAGCCAGGCCAATGAACACACAATATGATGCTGATTGTATCAGACCTAGTCATAAAATAGGCTAAACTTAAGGTTTAAGTGTCACAAAAAATGATCCTGATTAAAAAAAAAAAAAAAAAGGGCACCTGTGTGTTCTCCATCCCGACATGCTCCTGTGTTGATTCACGTGTGCTTTGTGCACTGATAAGAGCAGAAAACAATCCGCAGCACCAGCTCGCATGCTGAAGTGATCCAAGAGCAAGCTGGATTCTGATTTGCCTCTTGTATCATCATCAAACTCAGCTTCCACTGCAGTTTTGTCAGCCAGGCAGCTGACAGCAGGAGCTCCCAGCTGCTAGTCCACAGCCCTTGGCAGCTGGGCTGCCCCGCTGTCGGCCCCGGGCGGCTGGGTCTCCCACTGTCACCACTGCGCATTAATAACTGTAATACACTTGCAGCAAAATGTCAGATTATCAAAAAAATTTGCGAGCATAACATAATACTTGTTCTAGCAAACTTTTCTTAAACAAACAGGTCTTCTCTGGCTTTTCCAAATGACCACAATTAATTACACTTCCGCAATTTTCCATGTCTTGTCTGCAGCTCAGCTGCGCTTATTTGACAATCATCCCGCGATTCAAGTTGGGCCTTCATGATCCATACATAAACGACTGTGTCTCCTGCTGGTCTGCAAGAGGACAGGGATTACTAAGAATAGGGGTAGAGAGGAGACAAAGGTTTGCCTACTGGTCTGACCCCATTCTGTCTGTGCCTTGGGGAAGTGACGCCCCTCCACACACACAGGTCCCTTCCCTGTATGTTGGAGGAGGCAGGAGGCGAGGGGAAGACAGTATGTGAGTGCGTAGCCAGTGGAATGACCCAAGTAGCCTAGAACTGGCTGTCCGTCGCCCAGAGTTACCAATCCTTCCACCCGGGCAGCCTCTAGGCATGTGGACAAATGACGTGGAGATGCCTCTAGCCACAATCAATGGGGTTTATTGAGACCCGGCTGCGTATCAGCATACAAAGCGAGTTCCGGAAATCTCCGCGACACGGCCCCCACCAACCGAGTTCTTTCAGGCACGGCTGCACGTCTCACAGGGCTGCTATTTTGCTGCGTTACCTTCTGTCTCCAAGTCTGCGAGGAGAAAAAGGGAAAACATTGATGTGGAAAGAAAGAAAAACCCAGCCCCACCTGAAAGCACTTAAGTTTCTGTGTTTCTTCATTTCCTGCCTGGGCTCCGTCCCCACACACGTGGGCAGATGGCTGGGTGGCTCGGCAGCCAGTGCTTCTTGGGAGAAGTGCCATTAGAACGGGCCAAAACCGACAAGCTGCAGTGTTTTCAAGGCCCGCCCAAGAGCTCTGCTTTGTCTCCAGGCGGGTTGTGTTGCTCTTTGTTCCCCGAGTCCTGCTCTGGCACCTCCAAGAAAAATCAAAGGAGGCCTCCTCTGCTGCTGTGGGGGATGAAACCTAACCCCAGTTTAACACAGCCTTGGGGACCCTTGACAGCTTTAGCAAGCCCTGGCTGCAACGGAGCGGGCCAGGGAGGGCCGGTGGGGCTAGCTGAGATGGACGCTCTGTGTTTGTTAAGGATCCTTCATTACCAGCTCACCCGAGCCCTGGGTGAATTGCTGGCTAACGAGGAGAGGAAGATTCTACAATGAGCTGCAGGGAGAAGCAGTGGCTCACAGGGAGGGCACTCCAGGGAGATGGGGGCCCCAGAGAGAGCCAGTAAAAAGTGAACCACTGAAGTCCGTTTGTCCCCACCCCACCTGTAGAAATAAACTGAGTTTAGTTTATTCACTGCAGCTGCCGTGTGCCTGGGGACAGCTCGGGGGTCTACGCAGCACAGGATCACCAGTTATACAAGCTGCCCCATATCGCCACCCTCCATCATTTGTGCCCTCAACCCTGACCTGGCCAGCTAGGGCACAGTGCTGTGTAGCTGTCAGGATACCTGGGTTCTACTCCAGTGCTTCTGCCACGGAGCCCATGTGACTTTGAGCGAGTCAGTTTTGCCTCTCCGTGCCTCAGTCTCCCCATCCTCCGCAATAATACACGTCTTTCTAAAGGGCTGAGAGCGCTATGGACGAAGTAGCTCCGTTAGGTACTTGATTATTGTATCATTTCACAATGGTGGCTCGCATTTGTCACTACGGCAAGGCTTGCTTGGCGAGTGAGCTAGGAATTATTTCAATGTCCCCATCCTTCTCTCTTGGAGCGGATCGCTAATCTCATCAGAAGCAAGTACACATGTTTGCGGCAAAGATTTCATGGATTCCCTTTAATGGGACACTAACACAGTGTCGATTAGTGTCCACACGGATTCGATTTAGAAATAAGATAGTCTTTCCCCCATCAAGACATCATCTTATCACATTCTGCCTGCAATAAAATCGCTTTTATTAATATCCTCCCTCCCTACAAGGGATATGAATTTTGGATTGTATGAATTCATAATCTTCTGAGAGAGAGAGAGAGAGAGAGATTGCCTTTTGGGGGGGGGCGCCGTGCGGGGCGGGGACACTTCCATGAAGCAGTACCTGAAATAAACAGCTTAAAATAGTTACCATGTCTCTGCTCACAGGAACCCCCTGGATTTCCATCTCCTGTTCTGGACAGGTTAAGCAACAGGTCTTATCATTACAGGTTCTGTGCAGTAACAGTCCAGTGAGAGGTGGGAATGAAGATGCGAGCAAATTCTGGATATTTGGCTGGTGCCCACTACCCTTCTCAGCCCGCTGTGAAATATTTAAAGAGGGTAGTAGCTCTATTTGTTACGTGCAAGAGACTAAGAGTCTCGAACCCTGGGTTCTGTTCCTGTCTCTGGGAGGGAAGGGGTCAGGTAGTTAGAGCAGGGGAACAGGTGCCAGAATTATTGGATCCTCGACTTCACTCAGCCACTCATTTGCTCTGTGACCTCGAGCAAGCTGCTGCCCCTCCTTGTGCCGCAGTTTCCTCATCAGAACGGCCATAACGCTTACGTGGGTATAACGAGGCTTCATTAGTTCGTTTGTACCGACAGAGCACCGTTCATCCAAGAATCTCAACGCCCTTTGCAAACTTTATGATGAATGTTTTGCCAGTGGAGAAAACTGACCAGGAAACATGATGTCACATTGCAGCGAGCGCCCATTACGACATCGGCACTCAGTGGCATGTGGCTATAAATAGCCTGTGAGACGAATAATGGCGCAGACGGTCTTGATTGCAAGGCTGGGGCAGGTTACTGCTGCCTTCAGAGGCAGATCCGACTGCACTGAAGGAGCCTTGCGATGCTCGGTGTTCCCTCTGATGGGAAGTCCATGGATTCACTTACCAGCTTCATCGTACTCCACAGATTTCAGGAAGAGTCCAGCTGCCGGAGCCATGGTGTTTAGTGGATAAGCCAGCGGGTCTCTGATCTCTAATAGTTCCTTTATGCGATAAGGAGCCAGCCTGCCTTGGCCAACTGCTACCAGAGCCCCTGCCATCCTTCGTACCTGAAACGACAGAGAATCCGGCTTAGAAATACCGCCCCATCGTTGCCCTTGTAAAAAGCAGATGTGAAAACCCTCTGCCCGGCACCTGATGCTTTCAGTGTAAACCAGCAGGGCGCAGGGGCATGTAATGTCCCATAACTACCAGGCCAGCGAATTAGCGTATTGAGTGATGCTTCACGCCCTGCAGTTCAAGGCAGCATGCCTGGTCCCTGTCACCCTGGGAGGAGTCCTGCCAACACACACTGGTTGAGAAAAAGTGGCCTGAGAAAATTCCAGCACTGGCGACTGGTAAATTAAGCCCCTTACTCAAAGGAAGGTGAGATAAACCGGCCCCTGCAATAACGTGTTGTCTCTCTGGGGCCTCTTCTGCAGGTATTTTTAGTGCCACCACTGGCTGGGGGAAGCTCCCATCACTCATCCCAGCTAACTCTGTGCCTCTGTCCGGACCCAAAGGGCTGGGCGTCTCCTGAGAGGTCCTGAGTGGGAATTAAGGGGGCTCCGGCCCTTGGAGAAGATTCCAAGCTCCGTGGTCTATTCTATGCTAGGCTTCTTTACGGAGATGCCAACCCAGGGACTCCATCACGGCACAGACCCGCTAGGTGAAACACCCGCGGCTGGCCTGCATCAGCTGACTTGGGCTCACAGGGCTGTAAAATTACAGTGGAGACGTTCAGGCTCGAGCCGGAGCCCAGGGTCTGGGACCTCCCCCAGTCACGAGGTCTCGGAGCCCGGGCTCCAGCCTGAGTCCGAACGCCCACACTGCGATTTTGCAGCCCCACAGCCTAGCCTCGCGTGCCCAAGTCAGCAGACGCAGGTCAGCCGTGCGTGCTTTAGTGCGGTGTAGACGTAACCAAAGAGAACCAGGCCGAGACCAGTCACCCCAAAGAGCCCTGACTCTCTGTCCATACAGACCTGGGCTGGACTTGATATGGCAGCCTGGAGCTTCCACATCTCCCAGAAGCACCCCTTGGCCTTGCTCTTTTAACTCCCAAGGTGTGTCTACCCTCAACGCAAGCCCAGGGTTAGCAGAACGCGAGTCAGCCTGCCCTGGGTTTACCACCTTAGGGCTTGAGCATCTACACCCATTCGTAACCCCAGGTTAGGAATCGTTGAAACCCAACCTGGGGCTCCAGCATCTACATTGCATTATGCAGGTCCGAGTCCAGCCAGGCGTATCCCAGACTTCCTAGCGCCCTCCCACAATGCGGCCGCTCTAGCCCTTCGTTCCCGGGGCCGTGTGGGAAAACTGGACTGTCCACCAAGCATGACCGTTCAGAGGACAAAAAGTCAGCCCATGGGACTGTGGGATACTCCCAGAACATGAGTCCAGGGGAGGCTGTGTCTACACTGCAAAGCAATAGGGCTTGAACCCAGGCTTAGAGCCTCCTGGAACAGAGTGATGTGTGTGTACACGGAAGACGGGTTAGCGGTGAGCCTGAATGCAAACCCTGGGCTTACACGGCCGTGTAGACATGCCCTGAGACCCCGCCTTTCTGACACCCCCTCATGCATGGCCCCTGCTCCCCCAATGCCCTGGTGAGCTCCAGCAGCTGCCCCCATCTCCAGCCTGCAGGGGGCAGGACACTGCGCTGCAGTGATAGGCAGTGGCCCCGGCTGCACTACCGCTGCTGTGATTTGCCGGCTCCATGCGTCTGCCCTGCTCAGTGGTGCCTGGGGACTGCAGGCAGCCGTGACAGCTGCCACCAGTGACACAAATCAGCCCAGTGACCTGCAGTGGCCAAAGGAGGAGGGGTGAAGTGCAGACCAAATTCCTGGGCCCTCTGCATTATATTCTGAGCCCCTCCCCCCCCTCTAACTGGAGCGCACGCGTGGGCGGAGAGCGAGCAGAGCGGAGGCGAGGAGCAGCAGTGCCCACACATCCCTCTGCGGTAGGAAACTAACAAGCATGCGACAGAGCTGGGCTTTCAAACTCAAGTTACCCAACCAACCTTGTTTCCAGGCGGGGGAGACTCGGGGGCTCGTTTCTCTCTCAAAAAGCCAAAAACAAGCGAGTCAGATGAGAGGAAATGCCCCCGCAGCCAGCAATCTGACATTTCAAACACCTCCTCCGATCTGCATATCACACCTCCCCCCCGCCACTTGCTGATTTCGTCCACACTGGGAGAACTGGAGAAGTCATATTTAGAACACACCCATCACTTGAGCATCTAGGCCAACAGTTGTCCTTTCCCACTCTGTCCCTGAGACCGAAGGTGCTGCAGGGCTACCGCTGGTACTTGCAGTCATCAGTGCCTCCTGTCCCGAGCAGCCTCCTATGCCAGAGGCACTGAGCATCTCTGCACGCAGGCTGTGCACGGCCTGCTGCCTGGCTCAGGCGGCAGAAGCCAGCGCCCGCTTGCAGCGGCTGCATTAACACGAGCGGCCACAGCCTGACAGCTCTTCCGCACATCTACCAACATGCAGGAGAAGCAAAGCTAAAAACTAGAGCACCAAGGATGCATGTAGGAATGAGGTCTGCCCACAGGATGCGCGGTCGCTCGTTAAGAGAGAGGCTCTGATAGATTGTACGCTCTTTGGGGCAGGACCGTCTTTTTCTTCCGTGTTGGGACACGCTGGGGTCCTGGTCCACGAATGCGGCTCATGGGCACGATGGTAATACAAATCATTAATCAGAATAATCAGGCCCAACACCTCAATTCCCTTAAGCCAGCTGTGATAGGGTATGGGATGGCCTTTGGTTTCCATATGGCTGCTAGGAAGTGAAACCCATTGTTGTGTTTTTCAAGGCACCGACTGCCCAGCAGCTAGGTAGTTACACACAGGAGCTGGACAGGTGTCACTGCTAGCAAACAAGCAGCAAAACCATCAGCAACAGCCAGGTCCGTGTCCCCTCCAGGCAAGGCAATGGTGGGGCCAGGAGAGTGGGCATCGGCGGGGATCCTGTTCAAAGCACACAGTGCAGCGGGAGAACGGAGATGACGGGATTTCACAGCTCCCACAAGAGGGAATGCCCAAAACGGAGACTGTCCACCCATGGGCACTACCATCGCATCAGCCGGTGTCCCTTCAAGGGCCTTGGGCAGAATCAGGGGGGAGCTGATCCTGTCGGAGGGATGCTCAGTGCTTTCCGAATGTCAGGCCCTTTGAAGGCATCTCAAGGTGGGCACCCCGGAAAGCCCCAGGTTGGCCAGTCCAAAGCACTCTGCTCTGCTCCCACAGGCAGGCCGGCCGGCCCGGAGCACTGCAGAGTGGCTCCCCTCAGGCCGTGGGACATGGCAGTCCCTGCCCCAAAGAACTCACAGTCTAGAAGACAAGCCATAAGAGAGGGACGAAATTAACAAGTAGGTGGTGCAAGGAGCCAGTCAGCAGCCAAGCTCTCCACATGCCCAGGGCCCTAGTATTATCCCAACGCTTCGTTACGAGAATGTGAGCCTGAGCGGGTGGCCATGGGCCATAATCCGAACAGTACAGTCAGCAGGTGCTGCGAGGGCTCCAGACCTCTCAAGGAGAAGGCCCTTTGCTCCTCCTGGCTGCCTTTCCAAGGGCAAAGCTAGCCCAGTAGGGGTCTGGCGGGGATGGAAGGCACTGTAGATATGCTAGACATTGTCTGGCCTTTGCTCAGGGTCCCTGCCCTGCAGGTTGCGGGGAGCGCTGTTCAGCCTCTCACAGGAGGGGACACTTCCATTTTGCTTTTATGCAAAAAGCACACTAAAAAGTTACATGTTCCCTTTTATATTATTGGCAGCCTGTCCTCAGCTGTGTCGCTGTCTCCTCCCCAGCTACCAATCAGCTCCCCCACAGCCTTCCCCCGCATGACTCAAGGGGAAAATGATTCCCGCATCCATGCCATGAAAAGCTGCCTCACCCCGCCTTCTGTGCTTGCTACTGCCTCTGCTCTCTCTCTTAGCCATCTCAGCAGAAGAGTTTAAATATCTTGCCTCCCTTCACCCCCAAGAATCAGAGCAGGACAAACGGAGGTTTCACACACAAACTCTAATGCAGGTAGCCAAGTGTGTACAGGATTTTTGTACAAACCCTTAAAAACCAAGGTCCGGTCTGGCTATGAAAGACCCTAGGACATCTGTCACAAGAGCAGGGTTTGCCCTGGTGTCTGCCCGCTCACTGTCACACACGGTGTTCTCTAGCTGCTCCCTGCCAACCCAGAGGTGGCTGCATTGCAGATCACAGGGCTGCTGGCTGTGTGTACATAGTTAGGGGAGCATTTGGGGATGAAAACTGCTAGAGAAATTGGAATTCTATCACAGTTAATAACTTTGCATCAGGAATTTCCAGCCATTGGGATCCTCCTTTTTTTGGTGACCTATAAAAGTGGCAATAAAATTATGCTTGCACCCTATTTATTTATTTAGCTTCTTTATGGTGCCACCCGATAATGAAAAACAGAAATATCAGGAATATCTAGTCTGATTTTGCTGGAGAAGCCAAAATCCTTGAGTTGGGACTCTCTCAGCCCTTAACTGAAGGGGCAAGGGGACGATTAAACTTTAACAAAAATGTCTTTTCTCCCGCATGTTTGGCAGGCGTTTGAGTTAAAAGGGGTTTATGATTATATGATTCAGGGGGTTGGACTAGATGACCTCCTGAGGTCCCTTCTATCCCTGATATTCTATGATTATTTAGTATTTGAATTGTAGTAGTCCTAGGAGCTCCTATCACAGCTCATCTAAAAAGATCCCACCTCTTCTCAATTGCTCTGGGTACACATTCTTGAGAGTTAAGATCCCATAATCCTTTAAGCTCCACAGTCAACCATAGAAGCTTGGAAAAGCAGAGTAGACACAACCTGAACTGCTAATGTAATAAAAAAAGGAGAAACAAAAACTAAAAGCCCAGGCTCCTTCCTGCCCTTTATGCAGTGCATCATGCTGCAGCAGCAAAGGACACAAGCACATCCCAAAAGCCAGCTTTCAGGGCTGCCTACTGCCTGACCCTTCTTCCCACTTGCCACCAGGAAAAAACTCAGCACCAGGAAAAAACCTCCCTTCTGAAGAGGGCTGAGGAAACCTCCTTTCTGCTGATAGCATTTCCAGGAACAGAGTCTAGCAGCCTCTGAGCTGGTACCTTTGCAGCCTAGCTGCTCTCCCAGGATCACCAACTGATCTCATCAGAGGGATACACAGCCGAGTTTGCTTGCTAGGCTGCATGATCAACTCCCAGCCCTCCACCTCCCTCGTATATTGATGAGCTTATTCTGAAACTAGATTTATCTCCTGGCCCTTTGCGTACTTCATGTTTGCACGGTGGCTTTCCCGTTAGGCTGCAGTCATGAAATGTCACTTTAAACTCCCCACACAAGCCTCGCTAGCGATCCATTTCTAGGGTTAAGGGCTGTTCTGCGGTCACTATCAAAGACACTGTCTAGTGGTTAGAGCTGGGGAAGTTCTGGACCCAGGAGATCTGGGGTCAGCTCACGGCATGACTGTGGGCAAGTCAATTTGCCCTTGAGAAGTTTAATGTGCAAAGGGCTTGAAGATCCCCAGGAAAATAAAGGGAGAAAGAGGCGATGAATGGGAGCAGGTTCCAAAACCAGGCAGCCAGCTCCTAACAGGGCCAACCAGCAGGAGAGACGGTTCAGTGGGGGTCACTGACGTGATTGGGACTTCATCCATTGTGCTCACGGCTCAAGCATTCCTAGAAGTCTGCAATTCACAAAAGCCCCTGACACGTAATTCCACCCAGCTCAGTGGCGACCAGCCTTTCAAGCTGGGCATTGTGTTTGGTGAGGTCCCGCAAGACCCCCCCTCAAGACGGCTGGAGCTTTGTGATTGTCTGTCTAGTATCCCGGGCGCTGAGAGGAAAGTTATCATGCAGGCTCAGGGGAGACACCAGGTCTAGTTTTCCAGATGCTCGCAACAGCCTTTGTGTTACACATCGCAGGGACGGGGAGTCCCACTGACATTTGGAGTTGGGCCACAGAACATGCTACTCCTGCAGGACATGCCCACCAACTGCTATCTCATCACCTCCCGTGGGTCTCTCCAGATTTCCCACTAGCCTCGGATTTTGGGCACCAAACTGATTTTACCAGCAACCAATGAACGCAGACCGAGGGAGTCAGATCAAACACACAGAGGCCCAGCTGCCACGCTTACTTGTGCAAACAGCTGTTGTGCAAACGCAAGTCCACTTCCTTACGTGCAATTGGTTCTGCCCGCACAGAAGGGAAGGCTGGGGCTAACATCTGAGTTCCATTTGTATTTGTTTTATTAGGCTGTTTGTGCCCTTACAAGAAAAATGAAGACACAAATGTAAAGCAAATCCTGCAGGGACCTAAGCACAGCACTGTACAAGAGCAGGAAACAATTATCCAGGAGGTTGCATTTACAGTGGAGTAAACTCAGCTAATCAGGTTTGTCCTTGTTAAACCCACGCACAGGTCAAACGAGCGAGGAGTTATTTAGATGAAGACAAAGCACCATCACTTTCCCACTAATGCCTTAATCCAATCAAAGCAGCCGGCTCCCAGTGCTGTTAGCAAATAGAGGTTTGGGTTCGGTCTCAAAACCTTCAGATTGATGGGCCAACCCAGCACTGATCTGTTTTATGGATCTTCCCTGCTCAAGACAGCTAGGTCTTTTACTTCTCTACCTGCTAAGATCCTACATTTCAGCATGGATAAAACAAGCCCAGGTCTGACTGTGAAGAAACCACCCTTCTGGACACGCACTATTTAAAAAACAAAAACAAAAACCAGGAGTACTTGGTACTATTTTAAATTTTCCCCACTAGAGGTCACTGCCTGGTGTGAATCTAACTTCGATGCCTCAGTGTTTCAGGTCTGCCGGCTTTAAAGGGAGGCTACCCCCAAGGGATCTGGGATAGCCACACGCCCCGATCACCTCCTCCTCAGCCTCCCGGGGCAAACACATTGCACTCCTCGTGACAGTTCTCCTGGGGTGCCCACCCCTGCTTCCCTTGTCGAACGCATCCTGACTGCGCCTGCGGGTAGGTCGGTGCGCACAGTTCAAAGCGGAGCTGGGTTTCTGCAGGGATGGGGGAGGTTGTCATAGCAGACTGCAGTAGATAGTTGAGCAGAGATGGGAGCGTGGGGGGCTCAGAATATCACTGCCTGAGGCTGGGGCCTCCTGTCTAATGCCTAAAACACTCACCGGGAGGGAGACAGACAATCTCTCTCTCTAAATTGTCCTTCCCGGGAACAGGCCTAAGTCCTTCCCATGCCCTGAAGGTCTCCCCTTTCGAGCCCACTACTGCTCAGTCGCTGGGCACCCACGGCCAGGGAGTCTAAAAAGCTGCTCGGCCCATGATGCAAACAAAGCTGGTCTGCCAGAACGGAATCCAAAAGAGCTGCTTATTGATCCCACAAAAAAAGACCAACCAGCCCTCTCTCTGCAGCTTGCTGCCGCCAGAACGTGACCATGGCTAAGACCCACCAACGAAGAACTGCCAATCCTTTCCGAACAATGAGCTCCATTAAACTGCGGAGCAGCCTCTCTCGGGGGGGGGGGGGGGATATGTGGTGAAAACCCCACTCCTGAATCATTTCAAAGCAGACAGGACAAAACTAGAGAACAGGGAAGAGCAGGGAACAATCCTGCAGTAGGGAATAATCTCCCTGGGAGAGGAAGTACATGGAGTAATGGAGCTTTTCCATCTCTCCTTTCTATAGTTCTACGTAGTATTTCATGATCCAAAACGCAAGAGAAAACTCCAGACGGTCCTCACAACGCTCGGCATCGTAACACAGAGTGAGACTGCCTGGCTATTGGCTGCAGCCACTCACACCACAGGGATAAGACAAGGTAGTTTGGAGACAATTAGAACTCCCACCCACATGACCTGGAACCTCCAGTCATTTTAGGAGCAAACTTAGAGGTTCTGGTTGTACTGGCCCAAACGCAGAAATAAAAACAGCTAGGTTCTATTCCCAGCTCTGCTATGGATTCACTGCATGGCCGAAGCAGTCATGGCACCTCTTTGCCTCAGTTTCCCCATCTGTCAAATAGGGAAGACACCTCCCAAGGATGGAGGGAAGTTTGCTTAGTGCTGGTGGGGTGCTTTGAGATCCTCAGGTGAAAGGGGCCGAAGGCGGATAGAACTATCACAATTGCGGCACTACACCGTACCTGCCTGTAGAGGAATGATCTGCTCTTGAATTCTAGCTCCCAAAACTGCAGCCCCCTAAAAAAAAAAAAAAAAAAAGATCAGTTTTAAAAAATGGTCTCTCTCAAACCAGCCCCCCGCAGCCCCAGGAGGGACCGTAAATCACTGGTCAATTACAGGCAGGCAGGCGAATCAGTGTGAAGCCAAGTTTCCACTTCAGTGTTGGGGATCAGGGAGGGCTCTTTACATCAGAACAGTGACAGCTTCCTCTGGAGCCCAGATTCTCCAGCGGGAACTAAACTGAACTTGCAGACAGTCAGTTATGCAGTGAGCACACCCCAGCCCTCCACTCGCTGTAAACATCTGTGAGGGACAGGCAAACAGGCAAATTTCACAGTCCTGGAGTAAGAGAAACAGCGCTGGCCGAAACAAAGGAGACACCAGCCTTTGTCAGGGAAACGGCAGAGCAGATTTATGGGGGAAGCTGAAATGCTGCTTCTAAGACAGATGGCACCAGAGAGACCAGGGCAGCTCGGGGCTGCACGGGACATGCGTTGCACCATACCCAAAGCAATTTTCTCCCTCACCATCCCAGCTCGCTTCTTGCATGGAGCTTATAAGTAGTTTATACAGCAGCATCAACTCCAGGCCGTTCTCCACCCAACCCACACACAGCTCTGTCAGTCACACTGTGGCTAGCCCAACGCAGGTGGGGACGGGAAGAGGCCAGGATGGTCCTTCCCTTTGTGCCCTCGGCATCTGCATCACGCGGCCCATCTGGCAGGTTCTCTCTGCCCGGCGACAGATTGGAAAGGGGGGGCAGCTGCAGAGCTGGGAGGTAGCAGGGGGTGCGGCGGGTCTGGGCAGAGCAGCATCAGCAGAGCCGTGGAACGGTAAAGGCGCTGTGGGTCAGGACTGAGGAGCGTCGGCAGAGCTGCTGGGGGAGCTAGGAGGGGCACAGCAGGGGATGCTACGGGTCAGGATTCCAGGGCATCAGCAGAGGTGTGCTTGGGAAGTTTTGGTCCCCCGCTGCTCTGCCATTCACCTGTTCGCTCTCAATGGCACCAAAACTCAAGCACAAGAAGACAACTCATCTTTGTGCCACCACCACCGGACAGCACTGAGCCTCAGCCTCTCCCTAAATCTCTCCGTGACCTAAAAAATAATCAGTTTAAACTAGCGTGAGTGGGAACAAAAGACTAAAACAGGCTCCAGGAGAGAAGATTAAGGAGGAACAATTCCACTCAATCTTCTTAAGCCTTTGGGAGGAGAAGAGAGAATCAAACACCACCGGCCCTGTTTCAGTGCTCCCTGGATGGCACCCACCCGACCTGCCCACCGGGTTTCTGGTTACCAAGTAGAACACGCCTATAGCCCTCGGCTGGCGTTGGGGGGGGGGGGGTGCTGGGGAAGTGGGGTTCAGATCACAGTTTTAGTGCAATTAATAACCTCTCCCGTCAGGGAAGTTTTGGTTTTCTGATTTTTTTCCTTAATTCCTTTTGGTCTGGATGCACTAAACTGCCCCACAGATTCTCAACCTGTTTGAAACACTAACTACAGCTCTGGCCCCGACCAGAACAAGCCGATGGGCCTCAACCCTGCCCTTCCATTCTCAGCTCCCCCAGACTGACCACGTAACTTGCACAGATAAGGACATCACTGCAGTCCAGGGAAAAATCACGTTTACCTGCACCATCCCCAATGAGCCAAAGGTTGCAGACATTCCCTGAACGGGGCAGCTGCAGGGGATCCTACTGTCGATTGTAATTATTGACTAGTGGGCTCACGTGGGCTGCTGCCAGCATGGTGGCGGTTTCTGGGGCCTTGCCTCCACTGGGGATTTCAGCCGTTCGTGACCAGCCACAGGTACAGCTGTCCCAGCACAGCCAGGCAATGCTGCTCTGCAGCAGAGAAGCGGTCACCGCGTAAGGGCAGGTTAAGCCACGCATGTGCAAATCGAATCTCTGTTCACAGTAGGGGCTGCAGCCCCATTGGTCAGTGAAACAGGGGTGGAATCCCCGTTCATCTGACTCTGCCCTAGGACAGCAGCCTCCCTGTATCAGGGCTAAGACTCCCCCCCCTTTTCTTCCCAGCCTGTGAGACCCAGAAGGGTTGCTGATTTTAATGTAGCTTTCGAGGAAGCAGATGTTGTGCTGGGGGTTCTTTCAAGAGATTCTTTTCCTGCCATTTCAGGTGGAACATGTTCTGACTGCCTGAAATTTGCCCCTCGCTGAGTAGCACGACCCTAAAATGCTCAAGGATAAAGCAGAGGGGAAGAGCCAGAGGGGAAGAGATGGCCAGCCGCTCTCAGCAGGACTCGGTATTTACAGCGTAGTCCGGTTGCTGGGGAGACGTGGTCAATTTCAGGAGCACAGGTTTAAAACAAATAAAAGAAAGTATTTCTTCACACAATGCACAGTCAACCTGCGGAACTCCTTGCCAGAGGATGTTGTGAAGGCCAAGACCATAACAGGGTTCAAAAAAGAACTAGATACATTCATGGAGGATAGGTCCATCAATGGCTATTAGCCAGGATGGGCAGGGATGGTGTCCCTCACCTCCGTTTGCCAGAGGCTGGGAATGGGCGACAGGGGATGGATCACTTGATGATTCCCTGTTCTGTTCATTCCCTTTGAGGCACCTGGCATTGGCCTCTGTTGGAAGACAGGATACTGGGCTGCAATGACCTTTGGTCTGACCCAGTCTGGCTGTTTTTATGTTCACTTATGGGATTGTCATGCCTGGGCTGGACAGCTCTGGGGTGGCTCTACACTGATGCATTACCTTGGCCAAGGGGGCTGGAGGGTTCTGGGCTGCTCCGTGGGGATGACGTGTCTCAGCCTGGCTTGGAGCTGCTCCACACAGGTGCTGCCCCACAGGCGAGGAGGCTCCAAAGCAAGCGGGAAATCAACACTTTTTATTTGCACCTGCCGGGTGGTCCCAGCTGATCCATTTAAAAGGCCCACAACCTCCTCAAGCGATTTCCAATTCAATTCTCAACGGCTGCATAGCCCAGTTTGCCAGCTCCCCCTCGTTAAAACTCACCAGCCTCACCTGTGCTTTAACCAATCAAAAGCCAGGCAGGGCACTGCCCCAATGAGCTGAATCTAAATGGGGGCAAGCCAAGCGCAGACAGGATGCCTGGAACGGCAGGGGGTGCTGCAGGGGCAGAGCTGTGAGCGTTCAGAACTGGATCAGCAGTGACAGATACAGGCTGAGAACAAAGTGCACTGGAAGAGCTGGGCGGAGACCTCCCAGCTGGAATGGCAAGGGAAGGATTTTTAGGTCAGGGTTCTGGACCCAGGCACATCTAGGGGGAAGAAACTTGCCCAGCATCTGAGCTACCCAGGGCTGCTGACCTCCCCACCACGCCAAGCCAATCCATCTGCTACTTTCGGAAGCACTAAATTCACACAAAACCAGCCTCTTCTCCCACTGACATGAAGATTGCTTTTGGCATTTGCTGTAATTAGGCAGCTTCTGTTGGGGGGGGGGGGGGGAGTCGAGTCATGAGGATCGTTTGGCTGATGTAACCCGAGCAGACATCTCCCAAGAGGATGCACACAGCCCGCTCTTCTCCAGGAGATGCAAAATGGGCCTTAATTGAGGCACTATTATTTAAACAGCAGGCTCTGCAGCCCTTATGCGCAATTTTCCTCCAGGCATCTGTAAGGAATGGGGATTGGGGGGTGAGAGTCGATGGTTAATAACGACACCACCAAAGTCAACTCAGCCGCCGGAAGCTAATTTTTCCATGGCAGCCCAGCCGCGGCTTCCTTTTTTGGGGGGGGATCTGTCACTTGGACCTTGGCCAAAAGTTCACCTGAACGGAGCCAGGGATGGGAAACGAGGATGGCGGCTGCACTGACAGCGGCTCGCTCTGCAGCTAGCAATGAACTAGTGCAGCAGTGAGTTGGATACGTTAAGAGGGGACACGAACGAAGCATGCAAAATAACGAATGGGACTTGGCGTATTGATCAGAAACCAGCATGACCCGTATGTGACGATACAAGGACAAGGGGACAGTCAATGAACTTGAAAAGCGGCCAATTCAAACCTGATCAAAAGGAAAGATTTTTTTTTCCCCCCACATGATGCATAATTAGCCGGTGGAACTCACTGCCACAAGATGTCACCAATGCCAAGAAGTTTAGCAGGATTAAATGGGTATGAGGCATTGATAGAGTTAGAATAGTACATACTAAAAAACACACCAAACAAGAGTTTTGGCAGGATAATTAGTAGGAGCAGTATTGCAATACCTAGGATCCCTAGTCATGGACCAGGACCCCATTTTGCTAGGCACTGTACAAACACAGAACAAAAAACGACAGCCCATGTCCCACAGGGTTTATAATCTACATATAAAACAATAGACAAAAGGTAGATACAGACTGACAGGGGAGTGCAAGAAAACCATGAGACAGTGTTGGTCAGCGTGACCGGCTGTGGTCTCAGCACACCAGCAGCCTAACCTGTCAAGTTTTTTTGTAGGCATCGCGGAAAAGGAGGGTCTTAAGGAGGGTTCTGAAAGAAGATAATTCATTAGTTTTGTGGATGTTCACAGGGAGCTCCACTCCAGCAAGAGAGGCAGCACAGGGGACAGCAAGTGGGCAATGGAGGCTGGGATCCTGGACTGACTGGTGGTGGGATGGCGAATGAGAGATGGGGAAAGGCCGTGAAGGACCTTGAAAGCGAAGACAAGCAGCTTATATTTTCGATACACTAGAGAAGGGAGAAGCCAATGCAGGGTTGCAAAGAGAGGGGGCGACACGGTCAAAGCGACAGGCTCTGAAGGGCTCTGAGCGCGACAGGACTGCATTGGTCAATTCCAGAGAAAAGGATGTTGCAGTAATTGAGACGCAAGATGGCGAGAGCTGGATAAAGCCTCCGGCTCTGGGGCAGAAGCTCGCACTTGTCTGGTTTGGGAGTAGACTTTCCTTGGGAGCAGCTGAGAGACCATAATTGCCAATAGCAAGGTCTGGATCTTTGATGTAACTGGTACTGACCACAACCAGGACATTGGACTAGATGGAGCACCTGTCCGGCCCCAAGTTCCTAGAAGGCATCTTTGAGG